CATCAACACACTTAAAAGAAATAGAAAAGATTAACAGGCCCATAAAGAAAAAGGCCCATTATCAAACAAAACATGTAAGAAGCACTAATAACAAAAAATAATGCACTAGGGCCCAGTTGGCCCAGTCTCTCTACAATGATTATGGTCCGATTGTAAACTCAGAGAGAGAGAGACTCTGGGAGGACCTTGCTGAAGCCAGAGGTGTGCATTCCATCCCCTGGGTTATAGGAGCGGACTTTAATGTAGTGAGATTTCTGGAAGAAAGGAAGGGAGGAACCCGGAGGACTAGGGAAGTGAGAAGATTTGCATTTTGTTAATCAATTTGACCTGATTGATCTTCCTCTGGTAGGGCCCAATTCACCTAGGCAAATAATTAGGAAAATCTGGTTCTGGTACAATTAGATAGGTTTTTGGTTTCTCCTGGATGGGAAGATACTTTCCAACAATTAAAACAGGTAGCTCTCTCATGACCTGTTTCTGATCATTCCCCAATTCAGTTAGTCTGTTGGAATCAGGGGGCCAGAAAGACTCCTTTCAAACTGGAAAATGCTTAGTTTGAAGAGGAGGAATTGGTTCCTTTGCTTACTCCAAAATGGATAGGAGCCCTATTTGAAGGAATTGGCTCTTTCATCTTTGCTAAAAAACTCAGTTTAATCAAGGAAACACTGAAATCTTGGAGGCAGGATTTCCAAGGGAGCTCAGAACTAGAAAAAAAGGATTTGTTTGGAAGTAACTAAAGAAGTGGATTTGGATGAAGAGGTTGGTTCTCATTATCAGAAGAGGAGAGAAAAAGAAGGTTAGAAACTAAATTGATTATAGGCAAGCTAGCTTATAAGGATGAGCCGAAGTGGAGGCAAAGAGACAAAGTTAATTGGCTTAAAGTGGGGGCTAAAAAATTCAGCTTTTTCCACAAGATGGCTAATGCTAGGAAAAAATTTAATCATTTGGAGAGGCTGGAATTTGAAGATCAGGTGGGAGAGTCTTGGACAGAAATGAAAGGCATAGCAACAAAATATTTCTCTGATCTTTTCAAGGAAAATTGGACTAGAAGACCCCTTCCTAGTGACCTGAATCTCAAAAGACTTAAGCTGATCAGCAAAGGGAGCTAGAAGCCCCCTTCTCAGAGGAGGAAATATGGCAAGTGGTAAAAAATTTGGAAATTGACAAGTCTCCTGGGCCAGATGGCCTTACCAACATATTCTATAAGAAGTGTTGGGAGGTGGTGAAAGTGGACCTATTGAAGGTGTTTTAGGATTTCTATCATAATGTGGCTTTAGAAAGAAGCTTGAATACTACATTCAAGAAGGTTGAATACTACAAATATCAAGGACTTTAGACTAATAATCTGCTGAATAGTTTCTACTAAATTTTGGCTAAGGTTCTAGCAGAAAGATTAAAGAAGGTCCTAAACACAGTGATAGTAAAAAACTAATTTGCTTTTGTTCTGGGTAGGCAAATGTTAGACATTGTGTTGGTGGAAAATGAACTGAGAGATTCAAGGCGAAGGGAAGGTAGGCCAGGGCTGTTATGCAAGTTGGACTTGGAAAAGGCCTATGATCAAGTTAATTGGAAATGCCTAGACTTTGTATTGGAAAGAATAAATTTTGGCCAGAAATGGAGGAACTGGGTGAAGGTCTGTATCACTTTTCCAAAATTCTTCAGTTCTTGTTAATGGTCAATTGGCAGGCTATTTTAAGAGCTTCATAGGTCTTCGAAAAGGGGGTCCCCTATCTCCCCTTCTTTTCATTTGTGTAATGGAGATCCTTGCTGCTTTTGTTGACCGAGTAGGGGAAAAGGGTTTGTGGAAAGGCTTTAAGACCAGTCCAGGGGGGAGATAAGGTACAAATGCTCCAATTTGCAGATGATACTCTCTACTTCATTGATGCTGATGTGGATCAATTGGGAGTACTCTTAGAGGTGCTGAGTTGGTTTGAAGTTGTGTCAGGGTTGAGAGTCAACTGGTCAAAAAGTATACTAATTCCAGTAGGAAGGATAGAGAATTTGGAAGCTCTAGCAGAGGTTCTAGCATGTCAAATTGGCTTTCTGCCTACTATTTATCTAGGGCTTCCTTTGGGAGCTAAGTGCACTTCCTCCCTAGTGTGGGATCCTATGGTGGAAAGGTTAGGAAGGAAGCTATCCTCTTGGAAAACCAAATATCTATTTTTGGGAGGTAGGATTACTCTCCTCAAGAGCTCCCTATCAAACCTTCCCTCCTACTATCTCTCTCTTTTCTCAATCCCAACAAAAGTGGCTTAAAGAGTGGAAAAGTTATAGAGGGACTTTTTATCGGAAGGATGGTAGGAGGAAAAGAAGATCCATTTGGTTAGCTAGGACCACGTTTATGCTCCAAAAGAAAAAGGAGGTTGGGGGGTCAGGAAGATGAAGATTTTCAATAAGGCCCTTTTGGTGAAGTGGATCTGGAGATTTGGAAAAGAAAGGGAAAGTTGGTGATGAGGCCGAGGGTCCCACTTGAAAGCAATGACAAGATGTTAGAGGCCTTGGGGTGTGGTCTCAGGGGCAAGGACTGTGACGATCAAGTCAGCCAAGGACTCAAGAAAGCTGAGGTGGAAGGAGTGCAATAGTAGTTAAGTAGTTAAGATTTCATAAGAGAGATACCTATGGCTTCAAGTCCCTATTTGGTTGAGGTCTCCCTAGTGTGAGCGCGGTGGATGCTTGGTAATGACTCCACACATTGGGCATCATTAAGCGGGAGGAAATTAAGGCGTAGACCATGTGGTTGAGTGTTACTCAATAAATGCACCGGGAGAGGCTCGGCTGAGGTCGTAACACTTGTTATTAAGGCTCTGTATTAACCCAGGTGTAAAAGGACGAGGGTGCCCCTGGGGTCCGTGAGATGATGAGATTACCCTCAGAGGTTTGCCACGTGTCATGAACCGGTGGCATGGTGAATATTGACTATATCAAGAAGCAACTATGGTGGTTTCTTTTTCTTTTTTTTTTCCTTTACGCTTTTCTTTTTGTACTTTCTTAAATTTTCTACATTTCTTCTTCACATGCCCTAGCTTCTTGCAATAATAGCATGTAATCCCTTTTTTCGACTTGGACCTTCCCTTGGATTTGTCACAGTGTTGTAGATTTCTACTCTTGTTTCTCCCCCAATTTTCTATAACAAGTGTTTTTCCTTGAGATTAAATGGATGCCTTTCTTCTTGTTTTTTTTATTCAACTAACTAGTTGTAACTTGACTAATTTGATCATCCCATCGAGTGCAGAGTTACTTAGAGGCACCACCAATGTCTCCCAACTATTTGACAAAGAACTAAACAACAAGGCTTGTAATTCATCATCCAACACAATTTTCATAGAGGAGAGCTGATTCACAATGTTTTGCATTTTATTCAAATGCTTTGCAATCGAAGTACCTTCCTTGAACTTTAAGTTCACAAGCTTCCTAATCAAGAAAGCTTTATTTCCTATTGTTTTTGTTCCATATAGATTTTCCAACTTCTTCCAAAGAGAGTGTGCCGATATTTCTATAGAAACATGGTGGAAAACACTATTGACACCTACAACTTTTCGGTCAAGTTTCTTCTATTACTCGATGGAAGTTCCTTCCGGGTTGGCTTCATCTCCTTCATTAGGTCCATACAGTACAACAAATCTTCCATTTTGGATTTCCAAATGGTCCAATTTTTCCCATTTAGTATAACCATATGACTTGTATCAGCATCCATTATTTACACAAACGAATTGCTCCAACTAAAACTTTAATACCATTTTGTTGGTGTTAAAACCCCTTATTAACAGTGCAAATCAGCAATTTACAATGCAAAGGAGAAACAATAAATAGTGTCCAATGAGGCAAATAATCAAACAACACAATAAGAGCAAAGGCACACCGGAATTTTTAACATGGAAAACCTTTCCAATGTGGAAAGGAAAACCATGGGGCACTAACACAGAAAATTTCCACTATCAACAGGAATAAAGGGGTTACAACTTCTCTAGCTCCAATTAGAGGATAGAAATTTCAAGAGACAAAAACCTCTCTTGGATATACAAAAAACCGAAACAAGATGTAATCAACCAACAAAATATAAGAAAGAGCTCACAAAACAAGCCTTCCAAAACCCTCTCCAAGACCACCATTTGAAGATCCAAGAAACCCACCAAAACTTGATGGAATAAGCACAAAACAATAGCCAAAATAATTGATTGAAGGCACTCTTCAGGTTGCAAGAGGGTTGAATCTCTTCTTCTCTTGTAAACGAGGATTAGCTTTTCCACTTTCTACACCAGGATAAATGAGGCTTGTAGAGAAAGCCATGAGATAGTGGAGAGTGGGTCCCACCATCCACTAACATAAAACCAAGACAAGACAATTTGTCTCTCTCTCTCTCTCTCTCACTAATGAGAGAATACCAAGATTCTCAAGCTTGATTTTGTCTTTTTATTTAAACTTTCTAAGTTATGTGTTGGGCAAGAGACCCCAACACGTAAATGGGTCTCACCTCCACGTGAGGGAAATAATGTCAACATGTCCACAGAATGAGTGTGGGAGAAATGTGTATGCTGAGAACTTGAGATGGAAAAGTGGAAAACTAGAAAATACATGGTTGGAAATGAAGGCATTCAAAAGAACCTAGGAGTAGCTCCAATAGGTGATAAAATGAGAGAAAGTAGGTAAGATGGTTTGGTCACGCACATAGAAGACCATTGACAGTACTTGTAATAAGTGATCTATTGCAAGTTGAAGGGACTAAAAGAGGTAGGAGTATACCAAAAAGGACATGGGTCAAAGTAGTAAGAAATGATTGAAACACTCATATTTTAAATAATACAAAATAATAACCTAGAGTCCATAGAGACAAGAATATTTCTACAACTTAGATGTGAGCATGACTTCTGTTGTGGTTTTGTGGTCTAATCTAATGATACACTAACTCATCTCTTACTATGGACTAAGTTACAGATTTGTTCTTTCTTTTGCATAAATAGATAGTTCAGCTTATAACATACATGTGGCTTTGGTTTCTCCAGATTTGTCTTTATTCCCGGAATTGGCACTAAAGTTACAAGATGTTCCTGTGCATTCATGTTTTGCTCTCATGTTGGCATTTTCAGAACCTTTAACTTCGGTAAGATATCTGACATTTTTTTTTGAGAAATAGGTTATCTTACATGAATTGCTGACCTAACCTAGTCCTTTTGGTGAACATGATACACAGAGAAAGGGATCCTGCTTAGTGGTTCTCGGGATAATGAAAAGTTTACATGATTAGAGTCTCATAATCTAATTGTTATCTGATTTCTTTGGTTTGACCACCTACTACTACCACTACCACTACTTAGCCTGTAGGCTATGTTACTCAAATACAAGAGGGACGCTATATGGACAGAATTTCTAAGATAGAATCCACACTAATAGTTGAAGCATCTCACATGGATACAAAACCTATATCTGGGTAACACGGCCTAAAGTCCAAATGGTTGGCTGTTAATGGATGAATCTGAGATTATATCCTGGTAAGAAGCAAGTACAAGTATCTTGAAACCAGGTCTTAAAACTTTTTATTTTTAATTTGTTTTGTGGTGAGAAAAATTTTATGTTTCAGGTTGTTCCAGTGTCATGGGAAGAGTCGGTAGAGCTTTAGGTGGGTCAAGGGGGATTCCTGAGTGGGAGAGTTTGTTGCTTTTTAAGACTGCCATTTTTCTGGTTCATAGGGGAGTTGGTTCATCTTGTATACTACTTATTGGAAAAGTTGGAAAATGGATTATTGGATGGTTATGCAGCCTCATATCAGGGTCTGGATAAGTACAATTTTAAATATGTATCTTAGACTTATCTTTAACATAAACATATGTAAGGGCAGCTGAGTGAACGAGATTCCCACTGATGCAGGGTCTGGGTTGGGACAGATGAAAACAGACTTGCCCCTGCAGATACAGAGAGGCTGGGTTGGGCCACTTAATGTGGCCTAACATTGGCTATTGAGAACATAAGATGTACTTTCAGTTTTTTTAGTTTAAATAAATGAAAGGGTAAATTGCTAAAACCTCCTGTAAAATTTTTAATCATTGCTGACCTCCCTAAAGTTTGGTAAATGCAATCACCTCCCATGAACTTTTTGAGACAGTTGCAAGTAGACCCTCTATTAGAATCTTCTAACAAAAAGCACAAAAATGTCCAAAATACCCATGTAATTACTTTTGACCAAAATGTTTATTTTCCAAAATTTTTCTTCGTATGAATCACTACCCCAATCCCTTCTAATCTCTTTTTTGAAATTGATGTATTTTTTTCAAATTTGCCCTTCATATCAATTGATGAAAGGTAAAATTGCAACTTTTGTTAGTGTCGACTAAATAAGGGTATGGTCATTTAAGTTTTATCAGTATGGTGATATGTCTTTGAGTTAGATGATGTGTCCCATACTTAAGTAGGGGCACAAGAATCATTTGTAATGAAAAAATAGAAAGGTTAATACACCCTGTTCAATTGGAGAGAATTGATTTTCTCTCTGGAGTTCGAACCAGATTCTCTCCTCACTCTTCTTCCTTCTTTCCTCTCTTTTCTCTTCTTCCTTCTTTTTCCCTTTCTTCCCTGATTAATCCGAAGACAAAAGGTTTACAGATCTGAACTATATCGTGGTATCAAAGCTTGATTAAATTGGTTTGGATCTGTACAGTTTCTGCTCGCCCTAGTTGAGTTTTTTGCAGATTTCTCTTAGGGTTTTTGGAGTTTGACAAAAAGGCTGAAAAGGAGTGGTCGTTTTCTCCTTCTAGAGGTTTTAATGCCTCTAGCTGAGTGTGGTGTCTGGTCGTTTCAGGTGGCTGGTAGGGCACCCTCTGATGGACTGACGAGGTTGCTACAGTGAACTCGTGATCTGTGTTCAGGCATGTGGTCAAAGGTATGTGGAGTGCTGTGTGATGTTCTTGTGTGTGGTCTCTTGTGAGATGCCGAAAGAGGAGACTGTTTAACTACCATTGCTGAAATCTGTGACAGTGGATGTTTCAGCAATGGTCAGCCACAAGTATTGTGGGATAATGGTGATTGCTCAACTATAGGAGTGTAGTGTGGTGGGTGTTGGTGAGTTGGGGTAACATATTAGTGTGAATAAGAAAAAACAATAATATTTTTTTCAGCAGCCATGGGAGACAGCAGTGAACACAAAATCTGTTATGATCCCTCTTGACTACTTGAATGTGCAAATGACCTCCATCAAACTGAATGTAGAAAATTACGCCCCTTGGGCCAAATCTGTTGAAGTGTTTCTCAGAGCTAAGAAGAAAGTGAAACGTGTGAGAGAAGAAAAACCTCTAGTTGAATCTAAAGAATACAGTGATTGGGAACAAGAAGATTCATAGATTGTGACTTGGTTATGGAACAGCATGGAACCCAAGATTAGTGTGAAGTTTATGTTCTTAGACACTGTAGAGAACACTGATGTGGGCCCCACAGCTGTGGTCTCACTCGGTCCGTAGGGTAGAATGTTCCCTAGTCATCCTAGGGTTAGCTGATGGTCAATCTGTTATTCCAGTTGTTATTTATACTTCAGTTTTATATTGTTTTATGTGTTACGTAAATACCAAGGGCAGATTTGTCCTTTCATGTAACTAGCATAACCTATAAATACTAAATAGAAGTGGCGGCGGCAGAACATTCAGATTGTCCTTCCTTTCAATTCTTGTGTTCTACTGGTCTCTCTCTACTCTTTCTCCTCTCTCCTCTATACCTTTTTTCTCTTTTTTCGAACCTGAAATCTATTAGAGTTCAAGGGTGACAGCAGTCTTGAGCATCTACTTGGTATCAGAGCAAGGTTAGGGTTTCTCATGTGAGTCTAGTCCAGCCGACCACATGAGAATCCCCTAGGGCTGGAAGCTGAGAAAGTGGAGTTCGTGGACTGATTCTTGGAGATCGCCAGAGGGTTTAGTAGCTGTTGAAGACTTG